GGTTGCTGGATGGGGGAGTTACCGACGCATCAAGAGAACGAGAGAGAGAGAGAGAGAGAGAGAGAGAGAAAGAGAGATAGGATACTGGGGGAACGAACAAGCTAAGAAAACATCGCACGTGTCTCCGCAACAATTGATTCCCGCGGACCGGGCTACGGCGGTGGGTGGGTCATGGCTACGAGCCTTGATGACCATGCCGCCGCCGAGGATAAGTTCGCGTACACGGCTTCGGAGATATTTTCCATGTGAGTCTTCCTTTTGCGTGGTGCCATTTCAGGAAGAAACAACCTGGGACACACTCGAATAACGTCTGTACCCCCTGATCTTGCGGAGGGCGTTGGTGGGTGGTTGTTGTTGGCGGCGTGGTTGGGGTGTGTGTGTCGGTGGGCCTATGCGATCTCGACGGAGTCGTCGTTTCACCTCGCTTTAATTGTTTTTCTGAACATCTGTAGATCGGGGATACGGCGCGGTTCGTCGGCGCCCACACGATTTTGAGCACACTGAATCAGGTCAGAGACGATTTTATAGAATGTAGACATACCTCCAAAGAAAGACCACCCGTTGCTGCTGGCATGCACTCGTGGGTGTCGGGTTGTCGTTGTCGTTGTTGTTGTTGTTGTTGTTGTTGTCTTCACCTTAGAAACCATTCCGATCTCTCTGCCCAGTACCTTCATTGTCCGAACTGATCTGTGATACCACTCGACGCGGTCGATTGCCGTAGTCACACAGGCTAACTTACCCTATAAACCTTGAGCTCAATTGAAATGAACCCGAAGTGTCCGCAATACAGTCGAAATCAGAGACAGATTTAGTCTGTATATTGCTGCTGTTTTGGCCGCTGCGGTTGGTGCTCTTATGATTCAAAGCCAGTCTTGACCCAGTGAACAAACGCATGCCCTCCTCAGATAGGGGCTGGTTACATGGGTTGCCACAAGCCCAAGGCAGTGATGATATATCTTTCGCATGAGAATTATTTCACTCCGAGAGAGGGGGGTCACTGGACAGAAAAGTGGTACACGGGGCGGAGGAGTCGGCTCAGTCGACGCGGTAGGAACGAAAACAATGATCCCAAGGAATCGATCGCAGTGTGTACCGCTCTGTTCGGAAATATAAGGACTAATGGATACAAAAGTGGTAATCCCAATGGTCGTTTTACAGCAAAGGTCCCTGTTTAGTGACGGTTGAACAGTGACGGTGCCCGGTATTGTGCCGGTTCGGTGTTTTCCGCGGACACACACTGAATTTCCAAGTCATGGTCAATACTTTGAAATAGCGCCGGTCCGGTGTAATGCCGGTGAAGTTCTGGGCACGTAACGGCACTGAACAATGACCTCTACTGCATTTCCAAACAGAGTGGTATGCATACGCAAGGGAATGAAAGAGAAGTAAATCTACGAAGCTCGGACCTACGTACCTGCTTCATCACCGCTCACCTATAACCCCTTCGAACTGTCTGTTCGCGACGGCTTGCGGGGTTGCTTCTTCCTTCGCGTGGATGCTGAACACCCCAGCGTTTCGCCGTACGTATTCCACACGCACGCCCCGAGAGTTTTCTCGGAAATTTCCGAGGCTCTGCGGAGGGCCCAGGATGCCAGCGCGGAGGTGATGACCCGGCTGGAGGCTTCAGAAACTGCGCAGGTGGGGTTTGTTGTATGAGCATCATATGGTTATCCCCCCCCCCCCGTGCTCCGTCCCGGCTTTGTAGGGATGCGAGGTCAATGGTCTGACGACTACGGCATGCACGACTATGAGTACACCCCCCCCCCCCCCCCGTTTATGGGGACCCACTTCCGGGTCCAAACTTGCCCGGGCCCGCGAAAACCCCGGGTATCCCCCCCCCCCCGCCTTTTTGGGATGCCAAAAGAGTGGGGGTACCACCAAGACGGGGGGCTTTTTCCTGAGTACCCCCCCCCCCCCCCCCCCCGGCGGGGCGGATTTTTTCTTCCCCCCCCCCAAACGGGGACCAAAATAAAAATAAAGGTTTTTTTGGGTTTTCCCCCCCCTGAAAAACTCCTTTTTTTGGAACCCACCTTGGGAGAAAAAACC